CTGAATACTTTTAAATAATAAAAACAATTATAAGTTATAAAATTAAAACTTATTCATATCGCATTTTATCTTGTTTATAACCATTAATAAAATAATCTTATAATTTAAGAGAAGAAAAAACAAAAATTTAAGAAAAAAAATTAATTTATTATATAATTTAATATACTTTGAAATAAATTTTTTGATCAATAAATAAATAAATAATTATATATTTTATTTTAAACAAATAATATACTTTATTTTACATTAGTTAATTATATATGAAATTATATAATCATATGATATGATACTAAATATTACTAGTATAATTTATCAAAATTAATTTTCTATTATTATTAATAAATTATAATTTTAATAGAAGTAAATATAACTAAAGCTCAAATTTATAATTTAATTATAAGAATAAATTAATTAAATAAAATTAATAATAAATTAATTTTAAGAATATTATAATTTTTGAATAAAATAAAAAAGATAGAAAAATAATAATTAATATATTATTAAAAGATAATAATGATAAAGATTCTAAAATACTTCTAGTATTTTATTTAAATTAGCTAAAAAGAATTATAATATTATTAAAAAAAATTTTGATTATAGTTTGAACTATAAGATAATTTTGATATTATTTTCTTGAATCTCTTTTCAAACATATAACTGTAAAATAATTTTAACATTATTTTCTTGAATCTCTTTGAATTTTCTGTTGAAAAAAATTATAATAAAATATAACTTTATTATTATTTATTATATTAAAAAAATTAATTAAAATATAAACATTCTTTTAAGAATTTATTTTTAAAAGTAAAAGAACAAATTTATTAATTTAGTAAATTAGATTAATACAGATTGAATTACTAATTAAATTAAAATTTAAGCTTAATTAACTAAATTTAATTATATATTATAATATTTAGAAAATTAAAATTACCTTATAAAATATACTAAAGAATAATGAAAGAAAATTCAATAATACTTAAATAATTAATAGTTTGCTATATAAAAAGAACTGATAAAAAGATCTATAAATTTACTATTTCAAATTTAATAGAATTTATCAATGAATAGCTATAAGATATTGATAAAATAGAATAGAAACTAATTTATTAGATCTTGTAAAATCTATCAAAGAACTAATAAATAAACTATAAATAATCTTTATATTCTATAAAAATTAAATAGTTTTTTATTAGATCTTGCAAAGTGACAAAAAAATAAAATTGATATATATTATAATATTTATTAATTAAATAATCTGGAGTAAAAGTAATTTAAAATAAAGTTAGTATAATTATCTTTTTGAAAAAATAATTCTTAATTTAGATATTTAAAAGAATTACAATCAGATTAAGAAACTGAATTTACAGTACAGATAATTAAAGAACTTATTATTTAATTTGAAATAAACATAAATTTTTATTAATATCATTCATAAATTAATAGAATTATTAAATATTTTAATTATACTTTGTATGAAATACTTTAAAAATATTATATTGTATTAAATAAATAATAAAATATATATACAATCAGACCTCTCTATAATCACACCTCTTTATAGTCACCTTTTTTATATCATCTTTTTTGAGTTTCCCAGTTACTAATTAATTATAATTAAAAAATCTCTTCTATAGTCACATCTCTCTTTAGTCATCTCTCCCAAGTGTGATGATCATAGAGAGATCTGACTGTATATTAGTAAGATTATTTATATATAAAACACTTTAAAATAATATTACAAAGTAACGATATAACAATTACACGAAACAATAGCAATATAATAATAAATGATCTTAATACATGTAATAGACGATATTAATTATGTGTGTAATATGATCGACTCAGATCGACCGACTCTAAAAAAAAGTCGACTTTTTTTACGAGTCGGTCGATCTGAGTCGAGTCGTTAGCATCCCTAGTCAGAAAATAGAGTTCAATGAATTATAATAACAGGGTGCATAAAATAATACACGTACACGTATAACATATACATGTACCTAATTTAAATTCTCTGATTCACTGCATACAACATTTTGAATCAATATTACGTATTTATTCCGAATCATAGATGATTTATGCAAGATCTATTAAACGATAATAACACAGTATATGAAAAAAAATGTATTTTCTTTTATCCGACCCATTATTTTAAAGTAATCTATAATTATAAATATATTAAACGAATTGATTTGTTGATTTCCATGAGTCCTAAGATTGTACCAAAACATCAACTTGAGAATTAAAATTAAATTAGTCTGACTAAATTTTACAATATGTCTATATTTTTTCATTCGAGAAAAACTAATATATTATGTGCAGGTTTCTATAGTTGGGCTTTATTTTATACAATATACATTCGTAAAGTTAATTATTTTATAGAAAGTCGTTAAAAAGCTCGATCCGAATTTTTCTCTATTTCGTTTCATTATTTGCTTAATATACTATATGCGTATATGCAAAAATAATTTAAGCGCTTGAAAATGCGTCGCCATATAATTCATACTAATTTGTTTCTCCGCTTTTCATTAATGTCTTCAAAGATTTTCTACGTGCAATTATTCTAATTTGTCGAGCACTAGTTTTATATACATTAAATTCTTTGACACTTAATTCCACCAGAGATTCATATCCTTCATTATCTAATCCCATAAAAGAGGATAATTCCTTGCCTAAAGCATACATTGTTAGCGCAAATTCCTTTGCAGCAATATCACCCGCACGACTACTATTACTTTCCAGGATGTGAGATTTCTCGTAGACTTGAATATCGGTGAATTGATTGGATGCACGTAATAAATTTTCTTGTAGTTTTGTGATATCAGGATTTATTTTCTTTTCTTTAAGATATAACCTCACTATTTAAAGAAAATCGAAAGATCAATTAACAAAGACAAATATAGATGATTCAAAAATTTCCTCAAATAAAAGTGTTATATTTACTATGCTTAGTCAGCTCAGCGGTGTTTGGACCTTCATTTGTATAAAACAAGCTGATCTCTAGAAGACTCAACCAACCAGTTCCTGGTTTTAGCACACGTATTAATTCTTTTATTATCTTTTGCTTCCACTCGATCTCGGTATATGTAAAAGCTGAACAACAAGTGTGAACGAGGTCGAATGTATTATCGTCAAAAGGTAATCCATCGAGAATATCAAGAGGTAAGAAAACAGAGTTTAATGGTATTGGTGAAGGAAAGAAATTTAATTTATCGATTCCGCAAACTTTGGCGAGTGGATACTGAACTGAGACGTCTAACACCCATTCCCCCGTTCTACAGCTATTTGTTATTTATTAAACACCAAAATGCAAGGGATTGAATTTTCTTTTCTTTTTCGTTTTTACACTTAAAATTAAATTAAATCAATGTTGGTTACCCGAGATCTAAAACTCGCGCATTTCCCAATTTTAGTCGTTCATCAACGGGTGCAAGAAAATTTGCTTGCCAAGTGTACTTAAACAATGCGTGTAACTTAGCAAAGCGATCATTATTAGCATTCATTGAAAATATAAAAGCGTTTTTTTCATGTTGTTGACACTGCATATTATGTGAATGGTTGCCGTTATTGATATTTGATTTTTCTGAGTCCAAGAAGTTAGATTGTTTACTCTCGATTAAAGATGTTTCCATTAAAGGAATGTTGAATGAACGTGGGTCGGAATCTATTCCATTTTCCCGAGGTTTATCCAGGCAATTGCCCATTTTATTAAATTAAAAAAATTAAGGAATGAAGGAAAGTTGATTAACGTTGAAGAAGGGAAATCGGATGGAACTTTTCAATAATTATGTTGATTATTTTAACTTGAAGTATTTATTTTATAATATTTTCAAATCAAAGCATCGTGAGACTATATCCCAAATATAAATATAATCCTGTATTATGCATATTATTTTACGCAAATAGCTTTGAATGCAGGAGAGGATTCAGGATTTTAATACTATGACTATGACAAACTTTAAAAGTATATTATCTTTCTCACGATATCGATATTTCTTAAAGTCTATTCCGCATTTATTATTCATTTTCAAGAATTTTCAATCCATTCAACGCACAACGAAAATTCTATTGCATTGTCAGATATTGTGCTATGTATACCTACATGTATATACATGTGCATGTATACTGTGCTCTATACACTTTATGTATTAGCGTTTCTGTATGTGTCATTTCGCGAGGAAACATTTCATTTGTAGCAGCATTATGATGTGGATCGGTTGCTGCATTGACCCTGGGTCTCGGATAAAAACATGCACACACAAGCTACGTAATTAAACATCATTTATTTCTCTTTTGTGTTTGCACTCTTTTTGAATCACCGTTTACAACTGCCCAGAAAAAGGCTAAGCATTCATTACTAGCTGTCTTTCTTGATTTATGCAAAACATTGATACAATCAAGCGGAAAATAAATTAGTCTTTTTATTATTGGTGCAGTAATCTATGTTGTGGTTGGTATCTCTTGGCAAGAAAAAATATTAATTTCCCTTATCAACAAAAATTATTAATACGATCAAAATCTAACGGACATATAAAGCTATCGCGGCCGTTTCATGACTTAAAATTGTAATTAGATTGAACAAATATTACACGTACATTCGTGCGAGTTTGCTCTCCTGCATAGTTTCGACTAATGACATGACAAAATACAGTTAATCTCTCTAATTTTCTTCAATAACTTCCTGTTAGAGAAATTAATCGGTATCGTAAAACTTGCATGTATAAACCTTGATTGATAGCTGTATCTTTCTTGGCATTTTAAGATTTAGAATATATTGTTAAATTGCTTATAAACTCAGAAACTGTACTTAAATATATATAATACAAATGGACATGTTCAGATGCTGTCTTCTATTGTTAATATAAATCTTTAAATAATTTACCAATCGCTCGGTTTAGAATCAGATAAAATCAAGGGAACATAATTACATGTACATGTATATCGATATTTACAACTGCTTTGCTTATTTATCTCGCATGAATCGAAAAGATATTGCAACGTTACATAATCTATGTATACATGAACGTATCTCGCAGTGCTTATACATGTATAAGACATAACGTAACAGTAAGAGAATCAACAATACAGCACGTAAAAGAGACTTTTCCATGATACATGTACATGTACTACGTACGCCGCAAAGAATCTTAAGATGATTAATTTCGAAAAAATTGTAAGTTACTCGGAATTCTTCTTTGAAATTTCGGAATAGATAATGGATAAAAAAATGGTCGAGGGAATAACTGAAATAGAAGATACGAAAAGAAGACCATATTCTTTTTTTGTAAATTGTTTCTGCTTTAGTTGCTGACATAATACGTTCATGAATTCAAGAAAGAAATTCATGATAAATAAAAAGAAAATGTGGGGTGCCGCCCAACATCCCGCCACCCATCTTCCCGACACCGACAACCATATTCCCGAAATTCCAGCATCCCGACAACCCAACTTCCCGAAAACCTAACATCCCGACAATCTAATTTCCCGACTTTGACAAGCCAACTTCCCGACATCATTTTACATTTTAAATGAAGATCCGTTGATTTTAAATTTTAATAAATGCTGGTTTGTTGGAAAGTTATATTTGTCGGTAAGTTTAGATTTGTCAGGAAGTTGGAGTATTTCGGGAAGTTGGATTGTCGGAATGTTAGATTTCAGAAAATTGGATTCTAGGGAAGTTGGGTTGTCGGGAAGTTGGATTGTCGGTAGACCCCCGAAAATGTATACTCTGCCCGCATGAATTTGGTTATTTAATATCGAAATAGACAAATTTTATTAGATCGGAATCATAAGTTTTGTAGTTTCTGAACAGGCTAAAACGGTTTAAAAATAATTTTTTTGATAATTACATTTGTTTAATGATGCAAGGATATCATAAATTGTTACATGTATAAAAGCGAAAGGATTGTGAATATACATGTACATGTGTTGCACAAGATACTATTTTCCTCAGTATTAGTATGGAAATTCAAATTTGACAAACATGATATTTTTTTCTTTTACATATCAAATGATATATTAATAATTCAGACAAAATTTTGTACATCGTGACCTAAACTATATTAATGTATATTAGACCTCAAATTGCTAATTTTGGACTTGGTATTCCAACAAATATAGAAATCTAAAAAGAAACTTGTGGAGTACTTCCTTATATATGAGTCCAAAGCTAAAAGGAAAGTCATACACTAACGCTGCGCTGAATCTATTTATAGTTTTGTGATGAATGCGTACGATATTGTAATCATTTGGTGAATGGAATCATGAACGTTATCTTGTATACGACATTTATAAAGGAGTACGACCTAGGATTAAATTAATATCACTGGATCGAATTCTATTCCAGAAACAGGGCCTCAAATGCTATGATTACGGTACCAGAATAGCATAGTATGGAATGACTAAAAATCCAGTTACAAAAGATTACTTGATAGTAATGACTTATGTATTCTATGGTGAACTTCACAAATATAAAGTGAACTCAAAGATGGAACCAAATACCCATCCTTGTAATGAGTGTACTAACTGTCAAAAGAATAGATACTGCGACAAGTGTTTAGTTCACAATACTCATCATTGTAGTAAATGTACTACATGTCAAAAAAATTGGGGTTGTGAAGACTGTTTCAAATATCATAAACGAATTTATAACGATGAATTGTCTAACGGAGATAAAGACATCGACAATCTAATAAAAGAACGCAACAAAAATAATTATGAACGTAAAAATATATTCGAATGGATTCCATTTGAAAGATTTACCAACGTTGAATATCTTGCAAAAGGAGGTTTTGGAACTATTTATAAAGCAACATGGTTGGCTGGTCCATTTGATTATGATGAATTTAGTAATCCCAGATGGAATCATGAAGAAAATAAATTTAAACGAAGTGGAGAAATTGAAGTTGTGTTGAAATCATTGCACAATTCAAAGCAAATTACTCCAGAGTTTATACACGAGGTAAATGAACGTTTTCTAAAGTGAAACTTACTTTTTGCTCTAATAAAATCAAATTTTCAAAAATAGATTCAGACCGCTCTTAAATGCACTGACTCTATTTTTTATTAAATACTATGGAATAACTAAAAACTCAGCTACAAGCAAATATTCGATAGTGATGGATTATGCAGAAAATGGTGATCTCTGTAAATATATTAATTCCAACTACGAAAAATTGACTTGGAATCGAAAATTAATTTATTTATATTATATTATCGGAGATCTAACAAAAATTCATGGAGAAAAGTTTATACATCGTGACTTTCATCCTGGAAATATATTATTAATGCATTACGAACCTCAGATTGCCGATTTTGGACTTAGCATTCCAACAGATATAGAAAAATCTACTCAAAAAATTTGTGGAGTTCTTCCTTATATGAGTCCCGAGGTATTAAATGAAAAGCCATACACTACTGCTGCAGACATTTGTAGTTTTGGAATGGTTATGTATGAGATTGTAACTGGTGAACGACCATTTGGTGAACGAAGTCATGATATACATCTCATATTAGATATCTATAAAGGAGTACGACCTACGATACCAAACAATGTTCCCGGATTGTATAAATTTATTATTGAAAAATGTTGGGATCCTATTCTAGAAAACAGACCGACCGCTGAGGAACTTCAACACTTTATCTATTATTATAGATCAGACGATGATGATTTGGAACCTAATACTTTGCATTTTTAGTATTACAGCTCGTTAGATTATTCCAAAACAGAAGAAATTAAAGAGTGTGTTAAACTAGAAAAACAACAATTTGATAAAATTAAATATCAACAAAGTATTTCTATAAATACAAACAAAAAACAACAAATCCACTCAAATGCAATTTACACCAGTCGAATGTTTACTTCGAAATTAATATCAATTCCAACTGTTACAGGTATGCACACTTATTTTTATATTCAATCAAAATGAATTTCAGATTGATTTTAATATATCAAACATTTAGATTCTACAAGTGTTAGTTTGTATGTTCCAAGTGAAGGTAAACTTACATTTGATATTCTTTTATTACTTTTCTTGATTTAATATTTTTCTTTGGTGATAAAAAACAGATTTCGATGTCAGTATATCACACAAAATTAGTCTTACACGTGAAGATGATCGGCTCCTCCCGCTAAATCACAGCGCCATGGAATGAAGTAAGGTAACAATTCTTTTTGATACTAATGGTGTTAGTTCCACTGCTGCCAAATAAAACGCCAAATGTGCATATAATGATAAATGCAAGTATATATATTAATTTATCTTATTTTTTTAATTGATATCAGTGTCTGTTAGAATTTAATGCTCCCATGCAGGCAGGAAACAGCCTTATAATTAATTTTTTAATATATAATTTAGCTCGTGGTGACAAAATATTAAATCCAGATCAAACACTTTCAATATTTTTAGTTTGTTATCTTTATATTTATAAAAGCAAAATAGCTTTCTATATTCTATTTATTGATCCTTATTATTAAATTCCCATTCATAAATAATAATAATAATAATTAGATTCAATATACTTCTAATATATTTTTATATTATTCCTTTTATTTTCTTATTTTATAATTTTTATATTATCTTTACTTATAAAGAAAAGATAGAGAACAAGAAAATAAACTTTATAATACTATATGAATCAGAAATATTATTACTTTTTTATTATTTATGAGAATCATATATCAAAGGAATATTCTTACTTCAAG